AAGCTTGAATACGGTGTCACTGATACTGTCCTTGAAAATCATACAGTTCTGTAACACCACTAACAACTTAAAGGCATCTCAAAAGCATGTAATTTAAAGAACTAGTGTTTTTTTTCTATGCCCCCTTCAAATTTACATTAAAAGGACCCTCTCCATGTTGTAGTGTATTTTGTTATAAGTCCCCCATGGCAGTGCCCTGCTTGTATGGAGTGATCCATGGAAGCATCAGAAGTGCAGGACCTGATTGTCTCAACTACTGTGCTTAGTCCTGGATGCTGTCAGTGACAGCTGTTGGTTCCAACCTAAACACCCGCTGAGACCCACAGACTCTCTGTAGCATTTTAACCACTTGCCTACCAGGCACTTATACCCCCTACCTGACCAGGCCAATTTTCAGCTTTCAGCGCTGTTGCACTTTGAATGACAATTGCGCAGTCATACAACACTGTACCCATATGAAATTTTTATCATTTTTTTCACACAAATAGAACTTTTGTTTGTTGATATATAATTGCTGCTGGGTGTTTTATTTTTTGCGCTATAAACAAAAAAAACAGCAAAAAATTTGGAAAAAAAAAGTTTTTCTTTGTTTCAATTATACATTTTTTGCAAACAGGTAATTTTTCTCATTCACTGGTGTGCATTGATGAGGCTGCACTGATAGGCAGCACTGATGGGCACTGATAAGCAGCACTGCGGTGGCACGGATAGGTGGCACTGATGAGCTGGCACGGAGAAGGTGGCATTGATGCTGTTGCACTGATATGCAACAATGATGGGCACTGATAGGCAGCACTGACTGATGGCACTGCTGGTCACTCATCATCAGTGCCCTGATGATCGGTGCCGATCCGTCCTCTAACAATTGCCGGTTATCAGTAGTACTTTCTTCATGCTGTGACAGCGTGAGGAAATTGCAGCCGATAACCGGCAACTGCATTTACTGGTGATCTGCTGTGTCGTTGGACATGGCTGATCACGTGGTAAAAGGCCACTGTGCTTGGCCTTTTATCCCATCATGTGATCAGCTGTGTCGGTGGGACACAGTGATTACGGAGATCGCTGGGGGTGCGCGGGAGGGTGCGTTCTGGGAGGATGTCATATGACGCCCTCCCAGAACTGGACAACCACGCTGTAGCTGTCATTCGGCTATAGCCCTGTTGTCAAAAGGTTAAAATAAATAGTGCTGGGATAAATAAGCATTCTCCCAGAGCTGTTTCAAAAAGGGAATGGGGCTGATATGTTATGTACTGTTATCAATTTAGTCAATTAGTCCTTTGGGTCATGAAGGCAGGGCTGGCTCTCCCTGCTGCTCTTTACACGGTAAAGCTGGCCATACATTATGCAATTTTCTTGTTCAATTTCCTGTAGATTTACCTTCAACTATGTGTTGCAAGGTCTTGCCTGATTGCATACAAATTGAAAGTGTTTAGGTTTGACCTCATATTATATTTTTTTAAATAATTCTGAAGGAAAGTTGTGCAACAAAATTTTATAATGTATGGTCAGCCTAAGGGCATATTCGCATGTCTATTGTGCCTAAATACATGCATGTTTGAATGCAATTCTGAGCCTGTTTTATTTAGCATGTAAAATACCCCTTAAATTGACTTGAATGAAATACAGCAGGTTAACAAACAAAAAGACCTAGAGGAATTTTTGCAATCCACACCAGCAAAAATCCATTGGTGTAGACAGACCTTTATAAAACAATGGATTTCCTTATATCCATCAATCTTGTCTGTCATGGAAATACAGTGTAAACGAACCATAGGAGTCCATTGTAATTTCAGTGATTAATATAAATTACTGAAGATTGGGCTGCCCTTTCTGTGTATTGCTGCAATGGTTTATATTGCCCACATATTATTTTTGGCCATATATTGTTACAAGTGTCTGTTTCTTCCCACATATACAACATTGTTTTTATATTGCTCATGTTATGCAATGACTTTGGTTTAATGCCCATGTATTACCACTATTGCCTGTTTGTTTGTCCATATAATGACTTGAATACCCATTTTTGCTCATATATTACTACAATAATTTATTTATTGCCCATATATGGTCACATTTACATGTTTGTTGGATACATATCATCATGATGGCCTCTTTCTTACCCACATATTTTATAATGTTTTTCCTTTAACTAGCTATTCTAGTAACACACTTCCTGTCCTAGGATGGCAAAGCTCAGTCACTGCATTTTATCAATGAAGGAGAAACATTGTCATCCCAGGACTACAGAACATCTCTTTTCTTCATTACTGCTGAGGTGCATTAGCAGCCCATTAAAAAATGCAAGCCATAATGTGCATTAATGCACCAGACAAATGTGAACCGGGTCTAAAGGGAATTTCCCTTTTTCACTGCTCATCACCTACATCCATCTGTAGAAGAACCTGAGCAGTTAAGTGGGTACAGGAGTGTATTTATCAGCTCTGGTGCTTGGACATGAATTATGTTGGTGAGTTCAGCAAATTTGTTGTTTGCTGAATTGGGAAAAGACTGGAGGGAGGTGAAATCAATTAGTGGAGCCACATGTACAAAGAATTCAGATAACACCCCATTATTTCTGGCAGAGATGGTCACTAGATAGAAGGCACTACAGCATAGGGCTGTAAAGGACAGTAGTGATTGCTATTAGCATGGGTCTAAAACTATTTTTATGGGCATAAATCCTTTTCCATTCTATGCCCATCAGTGGTAAACATAGTTTGCAATTTTCTATGAAGCTACCATGCTCCATTCAAGCTTTAGAAACTATTTTGAATTAATAGATAAAGTATAACTAAAGGCAAAACTTTTTAGTTTTGTATAGAGTGAAGAGGGATTAGAACACTTGTTGTGTATTTACTGCTGTCTGTACCCCCATTAGGGAGACTCACCCTCTCTATTTGTCCTGTTTACCATTATCATCAAAAGTGACGGTAAAGAAAACCCCAAATTTTGGGTTGTCCTCAGAAAAGTAATAGAGGGGACACTGGGGACACTAGTTGTGGTGTCCAATGGGGACACTAGTTGTGGGGACCTGGGGGTTCCCAAGGAATTCCCTAATTTGTGGGTACTATCTCTCACTTCCTGTTTTGGCTGTGGAACAGGAAGTAAAAGATAATCTCCACAATGGAACATAGATGGCAAAAATAAACTGATAGGATGTTAGCCCTCCATTACTCTATCCAAAATGAAAAAAAAAAAGTTTTGCCTATAGTTCTACTTTAATTAATACCTGTAAATTTGCTAGCCTCTTTGGTCTAAACCATGTATCTTTTCTGAGGTACACCTACTTTATATTTTTAAATATAATGGTCAGGAGTAAAAACACAAACTAAACCTTGTTTATTTGGATAATAGCAGGTGGAGCTTTTGGATTCTTACCACTTTTTTTTTTAACCAAGCTAACTTTACTACTATGTTGTGACTAGTCCATGGTTTGATGAAACTGAGTAACATGGGCTTATATTACACAACAAGATGAATAAATCAAAGGAGGGACATATCACTTCCATATTTGCTCTGTTGAAAGGGCCCTTATGGGTTTTTAGTTAGCCCAAAACAGTTAATTTTCCAGCATGCAGTGTTGGGCTTTCACTTTAGAAAGTCCAAATGCTCTGCAGAATCAGTGGGAGCACCCTGTGTTCAACGTTTATTTGTAAAATAAATATTGTATACAAATAATTAAAAATATCATATAAAACATCTGTTTGTAAACTTTCAAAATGTATAACAATAAAATTGGCCAAAAGTCATAATAGTTTCCTTGTACCCAGCTTATTAATGCATTGGTAACATTGCTCAGGAATTGGCAACGTTTTCTGCTGTGAACAGAAGAAGCTGCCTTCTGCGATATATGATATGTGCAGTGGGGGAGGGAAATGATATTCTGTTTCACTTTCGAGATAAAACACTACATCTGTAAAGGTTTATGTCACATTTATTGGTGGAATATCCCCTTTTATTTGCTTAATGTGTGCCACAGACAACAAAATGGGAAGGTTGCAGATGAGTCCCAATAACCTGTTGCAGGTATAATATGAAATAACATAGAATGCACAGTGATAGAAAGACTTTTGCAGTTAGTAATAATCACAATATATTTGCAGAAGCAGTATAGGAGGATTTCTTGTACATCTAGATTTTACATGTACTCCTTTTCTGACATGACTACACCTACAAGCTTATATACAATTAAAAAGGTAATGCATGCTATCACATTTATTACCTTTTATTGTTAAATGCTTTTTACACGGCACTACAATGTAGGTATGCTTTTATGGTGTTAGTTACCGTCTGCACTGCAAGCTCTGCAAGCTGCTTGTTGGTTGGCATGGTTGGTTGGTTGGTCTAGCAAAAATCACATATGTAATGGAGGATAGTGCCATTGTTACTAGGATGATATGAGAGCACATTTTTATTCAGCAGAATATTTTTGAGAGTTGGCACGTATGAATAGCACTCATAAAATGTTTCTATTGTTAATGAGATATGTTGCCTATTTATTAATATTTTCATACAAGATTCACCCAATGTTAACCTAAGGATCCTTCATTTTCTACATAAGATTTAATTAGAAAAATCAGTGAATCGTGGGTAAAGGTTGTGTAAATCTTGGATGAAAACATTGATTAATAGACCCCTATTTAATTGTGTAAGGATACCTAGAAAATGTTTGAGGTATCATCAAACATGCTGCATATACTACATGCCCATACCTGACACATAAACATGATTCTGTTTTGTGGTACCTCTGCCAACAGTTTCTCACATTATAGGCTCACTGAGCAAACTCATTATGTGTCTTACCATAGATATTTGTGGGCACGTCTGGGTTTTTTCATATCATACATGTATTTTACCATAAATCATGATTTGGGAGAAAATATAACATCTTCTCTGTTTGCATTGTAAGCGTAATTCAGAATCAATATTCTTTGAAAAAGTAACAATAGGCACAGAATTAAAATGGGGAGATGTGCAACAATTTTAGCTGGTTCAGTACTTTAAAAGTTCCTTTCTTCAGCAACTCTGTCTGTTGGAGGGACACTTTCATCATATAGACTATCCTCTTCTGTGCTGGCACAACAGGTTTTATTAGGGGTATCAAGCTCCAGTATACCCTTGACAGAGGCGAAGTCTGCATGCGTGCCAAAGATTTTGTCCCAGTGTGTGAAGTGAGGAGCATAGTTGCTCATAGGTTTTTGATGATGCACATCATGTTTTATTGGCCCTCCGTAGATACCAAGTGGCATTAGACGTGATGTGGACCAAGGAAAATCATACCCGCAGTGATCCTCCACAGAGACATATACATGGAATACCATGAATATCCATGTTGTAAGAAGGTGACATCTAAAGATAATAGGATTTATTGTGGTCCAGAATCCAACAGTCACCAGTTCCCACCCACCAAGACACTGGGTAGCTAAGGCAAATGGTGCCATATATTCATGATGAATTGCATGGAATGTCTTATATAGCCATCGATTTCTGTGGTGGATCATGTGCCAAATGAAGTACTGAAAATCAAAAAGTAGAAGGCTGCCCATCACACCAAATGCAATATCCAAAATGCTTGGAGCCTCTTCTGGCAGAGGACATGGAGGTCTCCAATACCACTGGGCGACAGCAGCTGGGAAAATGAAGAACAGGTGGTTGTACAAAGTCACTCCAAGGCAATGGAAAATCATTGGTCCAGTTGGATTCCTGTCTTGCTGGATCTTATACTTGTGAATAAAGGGCCACCTTCTGCCCATGATGTTGAAGATCAGGTAGGGGATGCAAAAGATAACGTAGCAAGACACAGTAAAGACTACAGGGAAGAGTGGAGACCTCATAGTTTCAGAATATTGGCTCTTCAGGTGGTCCCACAATGGTTGAAGAAGTGGTCTGCTGTGGTGGTATGTGTCCAGAACATGGGACAGACAGGATAACACTTCCATCATCAGCACCTGCTTAGCTATAATCTTCAAGGCAAAGCTGCATTGGATCTTCCTTTTTATTATTCATTTGGATGGCGCTGAGCCGACTCCCCCTCCCATTCAGCAGCTTTCACAAACCCAACAATTCAGACCCTTTCTAGCTCCCTGACAACACAGCCTGGCTCCAGGAGGATAATGTGACTGCTTTAAAGGGACCACAGTTAACAAACAGCGGCTTTCGGTTACAGCCAAAGAAAAATGAATGATAGGTGATGCTATGTGCTTTTTAGTATACAGAGCTGATAAGTGGTTTCTACAGATGTACTGGAAAAAAATACAATTATACAGCAAGTAAACTGGCCACGGAAAATACAGATTTTTGTACCATTTAGGATTAACATTACAATACTTGCAGATTTTTGATTTAATAACCAGATCATTTCGCTATCACACAAAAAAAATTGTCACTTTACAGAAATTATTATACAGAAAATATGGAAAGGAGTATGTAATAATGTACAGCAAAAAGATGTGTATTTGAATGTAATCCTAAACTGCATTCACTTATATATTCTTATTTGAAATCATGTCATAGCAGAAACCAAAATACATTTAAATTATAAGAGACAACTGTCTACTTAAGTTTGCTTATAAATATACAATTCATTTTAGTTTTTCCCTATACACTTTCGAGAATTGACGCATTTATTATGAAAACTAGTTAGGTTTTTCTATTCTCTTAAATTACTGATATAGATAGGTAGACAGACAAATAGACACATTGATTTGCTATGAGTTAACACACATTGCATGTTATTACATATACCGTATTTAACATAGAGGGTAGGTTCATTTAAAAAAGGAACCAGATACAAGGAAAAAAGTTTAACAAAAAAAATCTTGTTACTTCTGTTGTACACTTATGGACTGATGAAAAATAAATGTTTAGAAGTTTTCTAAAGTGTGAGAACTTTATACCTGTTCTTGCCATTGGGTGGAAAATCTCCCGTTCAGCTTTTCTTCAGTCTGGCAGTTTGCAGTGTGAAAAGTGTCTTTTAAAAATCAAATTTGCACATTAAATGCTTCCTATCATAGAACAGGACGTTCCACAAATTAGGTCCCAGTGTCCAAAAAATGGGGCAAAGTTAGTGTCTGGTCTCTGGTGATGCAGGTCATGAGCCAGCCCCCCTCCATATAAAACCGCAGGGCACAACTTGTGAAAGTGACCAGGGAAAATTGTAGCCTGTATGGTCATCTACAGACATCCATATGCTAAGCAGGTTACATGTCCATGACGTCAGAGGGTGACAGCCTAACCTGATGGGATTCTGGCTACTCCAAAAGCCAACAGCCATGAGCTCATAGCCACTAAGATTCTGACTTGACCATGAAAATGGGGCAACATATCTATGGTGGACACAATGAACCTTCTTGTATAGCCAATGGTTCTTATGATGCACAACATGCCATATATAATATTGAAAGTCAAACAGAAGTAGGCATCCCAACACCTCTCCAAGGAGACAACATACAGTTGGCGCATTCACTGGTAAAGGCCATGGGGGCATCCACAACCAATTAAGAAACACAGCTGGGAAAACATAAATCACATGATTGTACACAGCCTTCCAGACACAAAGAATCATCATCTCTACTGTTGGACATTTCTTCTTCTGAATTTTGTATTGATACAGAAGGGGGCATTGGTCTCCCAGTATGTCAATAATAGCATAAGGAAAACTGAAGCACAGGTATCCAGAAAATGCCAGTAAGACTGGGAAAAATGGGGAATTCACAATGTCACCAAACTCGGTAAGAACATAATCCCAAAACGGCTGAAGAAAGAGATGCTGCTCACTGGAGTCGGGTGAATTCATTCTGAACTGTGAGCTCGCAGTGCACACTAGCCATTTTATGTTCCTGCTAATCCAAAGATCAAGACACAGGATTTTTTTTCTGAGGTGTTTTCTTGTGGAGCAGTCTTATTAAGTAATAAAAAAGCAACTGTTTATTTTCAGATTAGTCCCGAGGTACAAGTTAATACAGAAACAAAAGAAATGCATTCCACAGCCAGCCAAGAAGGAAATGCACTACTAACCATTTCAGATGGTACAAATGTAAGGAGATATACAGTTTACCATGTTAATTTTTATACAATTTTTATGATGGTTTTGTGTCAATTTTATTTAACATTTTTTAAGTTAATATGTTTTTAAACATTTTTTTTTCCAGTTTGTATGAAAAATGTATTTTACAAAAACACATGACACTGATACTACAGTGTATTATAAGTTTTCTAATGACACAGAGATCCAGCAAGAGTTATTTGTTTTCAGACTTTCTCTCTGTCTAACAGATATAGTGCAAGGAGGGAGGGTAAGTTGTAATAAGTTGTAATTTGACATTAGACGTCTGAGTTCTCTAAAATTACTTTTTAAGCAAAGCAGTTAACATTAACCTAGTAATATAGGCCTAAAGCTCCACCTGTTGAATGGAAAAATACTTTTTATATTTCACGATTTTGATTGAAATAACAAGATTCAATAGTAGAAAATGCATCAAATAAAACAATAGTAGTTTCTCAGGTCATCATAACAAAAATATAAAAAAAAATATACTATATAAATAGTCCTTCGATGTAGCTAACAATAGCAAATGAAACTAGAAAAGCTACAATTTCTGGGGAAATTGTGTGAAGTGTTCTTGCCTCCACCAGTAGTCTACAACTGGAGTGGGCGGAGTAACTAGGTGGAGTGGCTTGTCACTCTGCTGCCTGCTCACACACCTGGGTTCCTATGGCAACTCACTCTACAGCAAGGGCAGAGAAGAGCGGTTAAAAAACAAACTGCTCCAACTTGCTCACTTCACTGGCGGTTGCCATCTTCAAACGGTCGTAGCTTAAAAATTATAAATCCTACACTGAAGAGCTTTATATTGTGAGAATCACAAGACCCAGACTTACATTTTGATGCATAGTATGTCTCTGAAATATTAAAAATGAAGGCACAGTGTCAGTTTAGAAATTGCCCTTCAAATTTGAGGTGGCTAGAGTGCAGTTTCAATGAATGTCAATGGGCGGCGTGAGTTGCAAGCAAATGGTCATATTGTAAAAACTATCAGGACTATGGCTTAGCCGTGGACATTTTTAGTGGCAGCAGGGAAAGCTGAACGTTTTGATATAAGATTTGTGTAGGTGGGCTTGAAAATGAGGGAGTGATGGCAGTTTAGAAATCATGTCCCGATTTTTCAGCTCACACTCTAGCTTTTGTCAGCTCCCACTCTAGTTTTGAACATTCTGCCATTCGTTCCTATGGGACCAATTTCACCACAAAACGCCGATATTTCGTGAACCATTCGGCGAAACGTTCCATAAAGTAATAGCACACCAATCGGGAACAACCCGCACGTTTCGGTATATTACTGTCTATGTAGTGTAAAAACTGTGGGAGGAGTTAGGGGGGTAAATTTGACTATAATAATAAGAATATATATGTGAGATAACAGTAAGTGGTCTTGCCATGCAAGAACACTTAACAATCATCATATAGCTGAACCATAGCATTAATGTTCCCTCAAACAAGGAGTCTGACGTGGAAAGAAAAGTGATGGTCATGCTAGGAGGCATAAATCTGGTCCACAAGGGACCAGGGACATAACAATCCTAATCTTCAAATTTATTATAGGAAATTAATTAAAATAGCAATTGCATATTGGGGGGGGGGGGATATAGGGGAAAGCCATGATCCATGTGCCTGAGAAAATAATCAAATTTGGAGCCACAAGAGGCTCTTAATTCATCCTAAAATGGACAGAAAAAAAAACAAATAGGAAGTGACAGGAAAAGAAAGAAAAAATAGGGAGAGCGAGGGTCAGCCCAGCCAGGGACTAGTTAAGGAAATGACAAATATTAAATCCACAGGTTCCATGTGTTATGAAACTTCTTAGTATTATTATGAAGGATACAGGTGAGTCTGTTGTTGACCTAATCTAGCTAAGCTTGTTGTTTACATAGTCAAGTGGAACCACTGACTGCTTCCAGTATTTTGCAATAGTAATTCTTGATTCTTGCTGCCAAGAACAAATATGTAATTATTTTACAGATTTTCTGGGGACCTCTTTAGGCAACGTGTGGAAAAAGGCAGACTCTGGGATCTACGAACATTTAATCCCTTCACAAATAGACATTGTTAAACATTCAAATCCAAAATCTGGTTGCTAAAGTACATTGCCAACAGATGTGATGCATAGCTCCCATTTGTCCACAACACCTAAAACAAATGGGGGATGCAGACAGGTACATTTTTGTGATCTGGGTAGGGACCAAGTACTACTGTAAAAGATTTTTATAATTAGATTCTAATAATTTTGTGTTAACAGACACTTTAGACAGATCATAAGCAATGTCTTGCCATTCAGATACTTCAAAAGTAAGATTCAGGTCCCGTTATCAATAGATAATGTAAGGAAACTTGATGTTTGGATCAGTGAGGGAAGCATATACCATAGATACTCATCCCCTCAGGAGGACCCTAGTTTGCAAGCTGTCAGGGCTTCCGGTAAGACCAGAGATGTGTGAACTGACACAGGGAAAAGCAGGCTCAAGTATGGTGTAACAATATAATTTATTAAAGGTTATACACAAATATAAAACGCACAATATAACAAAACCAAACCTCCAACTGATAACGGAATGTACACAGACAAGAGCAGTCAGGGCTGGTGAGATGGAGTGGTCAGGCAGGCCGGGTCAGGAACCATCAGGCAGACAAGACACAAAGGAGCAGGCAAAGCGTAGTCAGATGGGCCGGGTCAGGAACAATCAGGCAGATAAGGTACCAAAGGAGCAGGCTGGAGAGTGGTCAGGAATAGTTGGGGTCAGGACAGGCAGAGTTCATTCAGAGTCAGGATCAAAGCAGAATCAGGAAGCAGACAGGATGCAGGTACAGGGGCTCATGGGAAACATACACCAAGGCACTGACTGCAGATCTGACCATTCCTTAAATACACCTCCTGCAATCAGCCTCAGGTGATGGCTGACTGCAGGAGTGAGCTTCTGGTTGCTGAGGGCACCTGCTGGCCAGCCCTGGTACTGCAGCCCACACGGCAGATGAGTCCCACCACTAATGGTGAGTCCATTCCTGACACAAGTGTATTAAATCTCCTCTCAGGACTGGTAATGGTAAAATTCTAAAGTAGTAAAGTATCCTGGGTAAAAATGTAATTTTAATAGAGTTGAATCTGCCAAACTAAGATAAAGAATGAAGATCTTCTTGAGGTCGTTTAAAAAGTGGAGGATAATTTGCCTGATAAAGGATCAGAAAGCTTGCAGGAATAGCTGAATGCTTGAATTCAGCATACTACTGGAGTGTGTTGCAGCGATCATTGTTTATACTAGAGGAACACAGTCTTCAGAAAGCTTTAATCAACATTCAGCCAATTCTTTTACCATGACCAACGGGTGCTGCAACAACCATTACAAATATCTATAAATATTATATATCTTCAAATAAAAAGTTTGTTTTTTGTAAAATACAACACTGAAGAGACATGCTGGAATCCTATTCTGTTGACCAGCCTCTTTTGAACTCACTCACATCCACAACCTGAACCTCAGTGTTTTTACCTGAAAACCTACTGTACTTGATGTCATGTTAACTAAGCTGACATTTTATAACAGCTACCTTATAACATAGAACTGCCACAAGCAGAGCATTGTACACTGTTAGCCATCGACAAAACTGCCATGCTATTGTTAAAAAAAAAAAAGTTCCACACACTGCAAGATAAAAAGAGACCCATCTCATTGTTCTGGAAGAGACGTTTGCCAAGTTATGTAACACAACAGGATTAGGCTTCTCTTTATGGGACTACATATTGCTTTGGGTTCCTTGACAGCCACAAGGCTCTTTTTTTATGCCCCTTCTCCATGATTCACTATCTTTTCACATTTTGACACCTGTACCCAGGCAATAGGGTTGTACCTCTCCTGCCTCTACATGTACACCTAGGGCTTCTTCTTACTCTTTACGGAACATCTTCCTGGTTTTTCTCCATGGATAGAGCTCATCTCACTTGAGAAGGTTCCTCTATCCCAGGGAGGACCAGATACAAACCAATGCCTCAAAGTTGTCTAACTCATAATTTCCAAGCAAGCCAGGGGTTAAACAGGTCACATTTCTCATTCGTGTGTTTATTTTCTCATCAGATTACCTTAGGCACAGGTTCTCTAATAAAAAATTAAATGACTTGAGCTTCACACAAAAAATGCTGGGTACTTTAATCTAACATTTAAATAACTTTGGTGTCCTTTTATGAAACAGAGATCAGCGGCGATCCTGAGGATCATTGCTGATCTCTGATCATTAGTGGTTTAGGAAAGAGAGATGATCAGCAGAGCACATGTTCTCCGCTAATCATCTCAGCACACAGACTGCCAGTGTATGAAAGAGTGATGTCAGCCCTTCACTGGCAATCTGTGTTCTCCCTCCAGATTCTCCAGCCCAGAGCTGGATAATCGGAGGAACCGCAAACGAAGCAGCGATAATTTACCTCTGCTTAGTAAACGGTGTTTGAGCGATCTCTTACTGTAATCTCGTGAGATTATAGTAAAAGCCGTTTTTCAGCATTCAAAGCGTTTATAGATCGCTTCTCCCTTCATTCGGAGAAGTGATCTACACCGCTTCATAAAAAGGCATTCAGGGGAGAACTCTCTCCTCCGAGAATGCCGGAGAACTGAGCAGCGGTCATTTACCACTGCATGATAAAAGGACACCTTTATCAAGAAAATTCCACTTTGTTCAACAGGTAAGAAGAGCAGGCTTAGAAGTCTCAATATATGGGGTCATCATTTCCTGCATCCATATCAAGCTTTGCAAGC